CCAAATACTGATTGTCAAAGCTGTTTTTGAGAAACAATATACCTGGTGAATTTCACCTACAGTGAGCACTAAAATCGTCTATTAAAAAATCAAAAAAAATTTAATAACATGCTTTTTTATTAGAATTATACAAAGCTGGTGATTGTTTGATATGTCATAAACAGTCAACAATATTCATGTGCTGAGTACGTGAAGTAATAGTTAACGAAATGAATAACAATTCACTTAAATTAAAAGTTAATCAAATCTTTTTAAATGAAGACCTTCCTAATGTTTGCTTCACTGATAACTGTCATATATGTGGAAGTGATAAGGAATTGTGGTTGGTTGAAGGTAAATCAATTTTTGTTGACCCAACAAATATAGAACAATGCATCAATATTTGGTTATGTGATATACTGAAACCTTCAGAGTATAAATATTATATCAAAGAAATTGTATATCATTTCAATGGTAGATGGAAGTATCGTAGCATAAATATGTGGCATAACTACCCAGTGAGAATATTACACTTATACCACCACCAAAATATCTTCCAGTTTTAAAAATTTTTCTCAATATTTATTTTTATGACTTCGATACTTATAAAAATATGTACTATTCATTAGGTGGGTTTATCTTCAGTTTGGGAATATATCATTAGATTTTAGAAAGCAATTAAAAAATTATTTTTTAGTTGGCTTTGTCCCTTTTGGTGCTGATTTTAATAATTTTATTATACCAATACTTAAAGATATAAACTGTTTGAAGAGCAGTCTCATTATTAAAACTCTTATTGGTGATATTTGAATTGTAGGTGGGTTGGTTGTATTACAGCTGACCTGCCACAGGAGAATGACTTGGCTGATGTAAAGTAGTATGGTGCCAATCACAGTTGTCGCACATGTAATTTGCCTAATAGTCAATACACTGATTTTAATTATAATTATTTGCAAAATGCTCACTTTTACTAGCAAACAGAAGAAAGATTCACAAAAATTAAAAGTCAACATTCAAAGGCAGAAAGGGAATATCTAAAAGTCGAGTATAGGTTGGTGAAGCCAGGACCATTAAGGATACTTAAATGGGATCAGCATATTCAAATGCCACAAGATGCATATCATTCTATGGCTGGAAAAGCATATACCCTTTTAGAGGTAATGTTTAATAAGTTTAATCTAAAAAGGAAAGTGCTTTTCTAAAATATTGGAAGGATATAGAAAAACCTGCTAATTGGTATAAGATGCCCAATCCCTTATGACGCTGACAAAGTTTTATGTTTTCTGATATATTGAGGCTTGCAATGATAATACTGTTTATACTTTAAAAATTTTTAA